TCTCTCTCTCTCTCTCTCTCTCTCTCTCTCTCTCTCTCTCTCTCTCGTTTTTTTCGTGACAGGGTCTCTCTGAGTAGCTCTGGTTGTCCTGGAACTTGTTCTGTAGATCAGCCTGGCTTTGAACTCAGAGATCCACCTGCCACTGCCTTCTGATTGCTGGGATTAAAGGCATGTGCCACCACTGCCTGGCTTGGAAGTCCAGGGTTTAAGCAAAGTATCTATCTGCCACTCTCGGCAAAGCCTGTCACAATGATGGGATCATGGTACTTGTCCAGTCTAAGTTGTTTTTCTAAGGAAAATCTTTCTGTAGCTAGGTGAGGTGGTGCATGCCTTTAATCCCAGCATGTGGGAGCAGGTGGATCCCTGTGACTTTGAGGCAAGCTTGGTCTACATAGTGAGTTACAGAACCACCAGAGCTATATAGTGAAACCCTGTCTTCAAAAAACAAAATAAAAAAGCTTTCTATTTATAAGTCCTAATTTAACATGTATGAACTATGTACTTAAATATAAATATACAATTAAAACAGTTAAAAATTTTTCGTGCATATGAATGTTTGCTTGCATCTATATATGTGCACCACATGCATGCCTGGTGCTCGCAGAGGTCAAAAGAAGGCATCAGATCCCTGGAACTGGAATTATAGACAATTGTAAACCACTTGGATCCTCAAAAAGAGCAGCAAGTGTTCCTAACCACTGAGTCATTTTTCCAGTTCCTATAATTTAAAAAATTCAGTACTTTGTTTTATAAACGTATGTGTGGGGTGGTACGATGGAGGCCAGAAGAGGGTATTGGGCCGCGCGGAGCTGGAGTTACCGTGGCTATGCATGTAGGTTCTCTGCAAGGCTGGTATGCACTCTTAATTGTTGAGCCATCTCAGCAGCCCCATCATTCCAAATTTTAATTTTTGTGCCTATAAGAGGATAGAAATAACGGATACATTCCCAGGATATCTTTAAAGGAAACATTGTAGAAATTGGTTCCTTGTTTCCCCTTTCTGTCTTTGAGTAGCCCGTTTATTTTAGGTGTGGTAAGAGGAGTCATGGGAATGAGAAGAGCCATTATGGAAGTATGAGACTAGTCTGAAGAGCGTTCTGTGACCTGGAATGTGAGTCAAGCCAAGACCTAGAAGGAAAAGACAAAAAGTAGCTCATGTTTTTCCTTTTAGAAGCTTCCAGGAGTGGTGTGGGTAATGGCCAGGCATGTCTGTCCCCTTTGTCAGTTGGCATGAGTACCTGCTAGTCTTCATTATGCAGTCAGGTGCCAGCTGCTTTGCCTCTGTGCCTCCCATCTCATATACACAGACACCCTGACATCCCACGGCCACCACTGCCAGATGCTCAGGTCCTTTCCTGGGACCCACTCCAGGAAGGCCTGACACACTCCCCTGGCACTGGGCTTGGCTGAAGGCACAGCAAAAGCAGACAGATTCTAAGATCTGTGGTTGCGAGACTGCGGTGGCGCAAGACTTTAATCCTAGCACTCGGGAGGGAGAGGCGGGCAGATCTCTGTGAGTTCAAGGTCAGCCTGGTCTACTAGGAGCTAGTCCCGGGACAGGCTCCAAAGCTACAGAGAAATCCTGTCTTGAAAAACCACAAAAAATAAATAAATAAAAATAAAGAAAGATATGTGGTTAAAAATCATGGCTTTAAAATGAGGTCACAATATGTTACATATGAAATTCTGTCCAGTGTACACAGAGTGTTCATACAAGGAAAAGAAACCAGATTACTGACCACAGTGTCTAGTTCATTCTCTAGGCTGTGATGCATCTCCCTCCCCACTCTTATCTCCTACCTGTAGACCAGCTTGCCTACACGTACACACACACTCACAGATCTTAAATATTTTTAAAATCTTTTGTTGTTTTTGTTGTTTAAGACAGCATTTCTCTCTGTTGCCTGTCCTGTCCTGGAACTGGCTTCATAGACCTGACTGGCCTTGAACTCACAGAGATCCACTTACCTCTGCCTCCTGAGTGCTGGGATTAAAGGCATGCATCACCATGGCCTGGCTAAGATCTTAAGGAAGAGAAATCCCGAGGGACTTCTATCTTTTTTAGGAACACAGAAGCTGGGGGTGTGTGCAGTGGTTCTGGAGACCACAGTCTGGCTTGCAGATACTAGGTGCATGCTCAGGGCCTCTCCAGGACTAGCAAGTACTCTGTTTTTTAGCACAGGACACCTACCCAGTATTCACCTGCCTGAAGCGCTGAAGCGCATGGTACGTGCCTAGAATGGCTCTGTCAGAGAAGCATGGGGTGTCTCTCTGACGTCATTAGGGCCTGCACACATTCGGGTGCCCTCAGGGCTGGGGCCTCAGGAACAGACTAGCGTTGGAGACACTGAGGGATTCCCTGAGTTTTGAGACTGAATGTATCCACTTAGTAGAGATGGCAATGATGTGTTCTTGCTACAGATGTCAGGCCAGAACTATATTAAAGCATTTGGTTATTTTTTCTAACTTTTTGCCCTGTGCCACACTGGAATGCTTGTTTTTCTTATCTTCCTCTCCAGGGTTGCATCTGATATACCCTTGCTCAACAGTATGCGTTGGTGTCCAGGGAACTCTGAATAGGGTGTAGACAGCTGTGCAGGGTCACTTGTTCCCATAGCAAGCTGCTGGCTCAGCGAAGCTCTTGGTCTGTTCTTAGCAGAGGCCCGGAAGATTGTTTTGTGGGAGGCTCCTGAGAGCTGTATACCCCTCTCCTTGTGCTCTGATGAGTGGGTAGACCATCTGTTTGAAGGTAGAGTGAGGTGGTTTGCAGTATGGGGTCAGGTGCTAATGTCTCTGCCACTGTCTTTCAGTGAACGAGTTCACAGTGATTAGGAAGAAGTTCAAGTGCCCCTACTGCAGCTTCTCGGCCATGCACCAGTGCATCCTTAAGCGACACATGCGCTCACACACTGGAGAGCGACCCTACCCTTGTGAGATCTGTGGCAAGAAGTTCACTAGGCGAGAACACATGAAGCGACATACTCTGGTGAGTGCAGGGTGCCAGTGGGGTGTGGGGGCGGGGCACTTGATGGGCAGCTTAAGATGTCCTGACAGGCAGCTCAGGAGGGTGTTGGATACCCAGGACACCCCCCAGTACTAGGTGCCTTTCAGAGGCAAGCGTCGAACAGAACAGGGAGAACTGCCCCTTGCGACATCACTGTGCTTCTCCATAGGGGCTCCAGGCCTGTCTGAGTACAGGGTCGGGTAGCAGCACATCCACATCGCATGCTGTCCACTTGCTGGCCCCCTCAGCCGCTGAAGAGTGTATACCGCCATCTGCACTTTGATCTGCCCGTTTATATCCCAGCTCTTATGCCTGGCTGTCAGTACCTAACTTGCCATTTTCAAGTAGTGGGTTTGAAGGATGACTTTGTTTGGCCAAGAGATGACAGAAAAAGTTGTTCAGAAACAGGTAGATTGGTTCAGGCAAGATACATCAACAGATAGAGGCAGTTCATGGCATGCTGCACTCAAGGAATTGGAGCCCCTAAAAATGAACCAGGGCTCGGGGAGGGGCGCATTTAGAGGAGAGTGGATTGCAGGTGCCAGCAGTCATCTTCCATGTGAGAACTCACTGCCTGCTGGGCCATTCCTTAGTTTGTTGGTTGATTGCAGGCTGGTAGACTTACCTGCAGACTTGTCCAAAGTTAGTGACTCTGAGGATGTGAGCAAAACCCAGCCCCTGCCCCAGTCTCAGGTCCTAGCATCTGTGTGCACGGCCGCTCATAGCTGCTTGAGGTCTTAGAGCTGGGTTTAGATCTTTCTACTAATGAGGCTGGGGATGTGGCTTAGTAGAGTACTTGCCTCATGTGCGTGAGGCCCTGGATTCAATCCCTGGTACCATGTGATGGTGCATTCCTGGGATGCCAGCACTTGGGGAGGGGTAGGGGAGTATTAGAAGTTCAAGGTGAAGACCTTTAGTTGTCTCAGTGGATGCCTGCCACTAAGTCTGACAACTTGGGTTTAATCCGCAGGATCCACGTGGTTGGAAGGAGAGAACAGACTTCTGTGGGTTATCCTCTGTGTGGACAAGAATGGTGTTGATGTGCACGCACACACATAAATACAATAAATTTAAAAAAATATTCAAGGCCAGCCAGGTGGTGCTGTCACTTGTCTTTAGTCCCAGCACTCAGGAGGCAGAGGCAGGTGGATCTCTGCGAGTCAGCCTGGTCTACAGAGTGAGTTCCAGGACAGGTTCCAAAGCTACACAGAGAAACCCTCTCTCAAAAAACTAAAAAAAAAAAAAAAAAAAAAAAGCCAACAACAAAACCCCGCCATCCTTAATTACATAGTGGATTCATGTGATCTTGTCTCAAAAAAGAAAAAGAAAGTACTTTTCACTAGTTTTGTGGGTTTTTTTTGTTGCATCCATAAATATTGCTTTACAAACTTATAGAAAATTGTAAGTGGGATGCTGACACCTCCACCCAGCTTTCCCTACTCAGAGAGAACTGTGTCTTTTTTTTAAGCTCATAGGTGTTGAAAAGTCTTAACAGTGTGCATTGCTGCATTTTCTTGAGCAAACCACACTCACTTTGTTTGATGTTGGTTCACTGTGCCTGCTCTTCATCATACGTTCTAAAAATGTACTTAAAATGTGGAAGCTTAGTGTGATAGCACATGTCTGTAATCCCCCATTTTGGAGGAGGAAGCAGAAGGAGGAGAAGTTCCAAGCCGTCCTGTGTGCCAGGCTCAATGATGATGATGCCCCGTATGTCAGGGCTTGCATGAGAAAGGGGTCCATATAGTTTAATCCTTTAGCTTCCTTGGGGTGCCAATCTTTGAAAAAGTGGAGCCCTCTGCATTAGAGGCAGCTCTGAAGCCCAAACCACCATGTTTTCCACAGCAGTATCTACTGCCCTGACTTTTTTTTTTTTGGCATGCAAAGCCCCCTCAGGAACCTTCATAGGTGGAGACAGTGCTGAGAGCTGTACTGCTGTGCTTTCTCAGGGATCAGGAAGGAGTGGGTTTATACTGCTCCATAACAAACATCAAGGGGCTTAGCAGCAGAGTGCCACAAAGCCTAGACTAGAACCACAGTGACATCTTGTGGACAGACCTTTCCCATCATGTGTTGTGTTTATAGTAGGGGAACTGGCAGATTCAGAAAGGTGAGTCACCCTCTGCTCAGTAGCCTGTTCTCTGGCAGGTCCTGGTGGCAGCACAGGAAGGAGTTGGGAGCCTAGGATCTGGGCCAGCTTCCAGCCAAGAAAACCTACCCTAGACTGCTGAACCGAGAACAGGCCATCTGTGTGTGGCCTGGGGCCGCCTGGCCAGGGATAGCTATGGTCTCCTCTGGGTTCCTCATCTCCAGTTTTGAAGCTTAGGGTCAGATCTTAGATGGAAGCAGGCACAGTGGAGCTGGCAGGCTGAGAAGGCTACGGGTACTCCACAAATCCCATTTACCTTGTCTTTGCCCATCTCTAGGAAGGCAATTCTGCATAGGCCAACTTTGTAGATAGAGTACATTGGTTCCTGTGCACACTTCTTCAAGCTCAGGTCTCCTGGGTCCCCTCCAGGAGCTCCAGACCTTTGTCTTCTGTACTTTCAAGAACCTTCTACTGAGTATGGTGTCTTCCTGCCAAATACTACAATGGACAGGGCACTGCTTCTGTCCCTCCCTGGCTGCCATGCCTCTTCTGCAGACCCTAATTGCTAACCTCTGTCCTTGCCTTTCAGTTGAGAGAGCAGGATAGAAGGAGCTGCCCGTTTTCATTGGAAACAGGTGCATAGCAGCCAGGCTAGGGTTCCACTGCACTGCTCTGCTGCCAGGTTCCAGACTGTTTCCCATCCATGTTGAGCCCTCTCCCTCTCACTTGCGGCTCCCATGTGACCCAACCCACCAGTCTGTCCTGGGCTTCCTGGAAGGCAGATTCCACTTGCAGCTTCCAATCACAGTTGTGTATGGGCTACATGTCCTGTGCACTCAGGTGAGCAGTGTTGTATTTAATTCTGCATCACCCGCTGCTGGGCCAGCTGCTCTGCCTGTACAGAGCTAATGGCAGCTGGGCTCCAGAGCTGCTCTAGGGATCTGATAGAAGCCCCTCATCCTGCCCTACGGGGAAGTTTATAGGAAGGGATCTTCAGGCAAAGGAAGGAGTATGACAAGTGAGAAGTATACCTACATACCATTGAGTGGGAGAACTTGGATATGGATATGCTGGGACTAGCCCAGCTTGTAGCTGAGTGCATGACATTGTTTACCTGGTGCCTGTAGTATCCCCTTTAAGTCAGGATGATTTGCTGTCTCTAGTGATACTGCCCATGTTGGCTCCAGATAGATGTCACCTCCTTTCCCTGATAGGGACTGTCCCTCCTGTGTCTCTCATGGCCTAGTAAAGATTGTGCTCCTCACTCCAACACTGCTCCGCTGATTGTTCTGTCCTCCAGGTCCACAGCAAGGACAAGAAGTACGTGTGCAAGGTGTGCAGCCGTGTGTTCATGTCTGCAGCCAGTGTGGGCATTAAGCATGGTTCTCGTCGCCATGGTGTATGTGCGGACTGTGCTGGCCGGGGTGTGGCCGCACCACTGGACCATGGTGGAGGTGGTGAGGGCTCTCCTGAGGCACTGTTTGCTGGTGAAGGGCCATACCTGGAAGACCCTGATGATCCACGAGGGGAAGGCGAGGAGGAGCTAGGTGAGGATGAGGATGAGGATGTGGCCAAATGGAAGGACGACGTGGGTTTGGCTCATGAGGACGCGCTGCTGGAAGATGACAAGGATGATGAGGACTCTCCACGGGGGCCGCACAGCCCCTCTGGGGAGCCTGATAAGGACTTTGCCTGGATCTCCTAGGGGCTTTGCTCTGGTGGGCAGGGTGGGTGGTGGCTGAATCGCTTTGTACACCTGTGTGTGTCTTAGTGGGTCTTTACTTACCCAGGAGCAGGGCCATGCTGACTCCTTGACGCTCTTCCTTCAGGCCCTCCTCTGGCCTATAACCCTCCCCCTTTGCAGAAACTGGTCCTGTGAACTAAGAAGTGAATGTGACTCCAGAGACGGGGGAGCACTAGGACCGAACACAAAGTGAGGGGTAGAGTGTAGGTTTAGGAAAAGGGAGGCCTACTCCCACCTGCCCAGGTATTATTAATGGAGTCCCCAGCGGGTGTGTCTAGATGTGTGAGCAGGGCTGCACCAAGGCCTGGGCATGCTTCCTCAGGGTATCAAAGGAGCCCTTTGCTGTGAACCTGGCTAGGAATGCAAGATGCCTCGGTGACTAGGTCGGGTCAGCACTAGTTAGGGTCATGAGGGCGATCCCCCAGCCCTCAGATCTGAGTAGGTGTTGAGTTTTGCATAAATACAAACTGTTCCACCTACAGCATTGCTCAGTCTCCTTCCACCCCCATCCTCTGGCAGTCAGGTTATGGGCAATGGCCCTGCCACTTTGTCCTCTTGGTTCCTGCTGCCCCATGGCAGCTGGTAGAATCTAGTGGGCATAAGCCCTGCAATCCTCTTACCTCCAGGCTTTGGTGCTTAACATAAAATGGCTGCAGATGCCTCTCTGGAAGCCCAAGGCTCCAGGTGCTATCTCTGTTGGAAGCAGCTACCCAACTGGCAGGCCAAAGAGGAAGAAGGCTCTGTTCAAGAAGGGACCTGTGGTTGGATACTTTCCCCGTTCAGGCCCACATGGTTGAGTTGCAAGGGCCACAGCTCTTTGTTCCGTGTGCACTTTCTTGGAGAGCCCCGTTGTGCACCCTGAGTTCTGCCTGCGCCCATGCTGACCCCTCCTTGGACCAGATAGAGCTCAAGCTCCTGCCTTGTTGCTGCTAACACTGGAGGTGGGTGTTCCTAGCTGCAGTGTGCTGCTGACGCCTCCCTGCCTAGGAACCAAATTTTAAAGAAGTCAGAGACATTTTCAGGTGGTTACTACAGGTTACTTTCTTTCAAATTGTTTTTTTCACTTGACAGGACTCCGCAAGTGGTTTCATTTAACTCTTCATCAAGTCCTCTTCCTGTTATTTCTAAAGATGCTCACACTTGCTCTGTGAAAAGTGTGGGCTGAATTTCTATGGCTCTGAGGCCCAGGGAAGCAGCTGTCCACGTAACCTGCAGGATAGATACAGATGCTGCAGCCTGCCCTCTTCTCCAGGCCATTTCTAACAAACTAAGAACATTCCATCCCTTGCCCACCTCATCTCCCAAAGGCCCACTGATCCTCTGGTGAGGTGCTGATGGGCTAGCCCCCACCCTTTGCAAGGGCTCATCGGGCTAAATCATTAGGGCCAATTAGAGAATTTTGGTTTTCCTTTCTCAAACACTAAGTCAAATGGCTTTTAGCACCCCGTCCCTTCTGTTCTCACTAGGTAAGTAAGAGGAAGCCCCATAAAACTAATTTAGGTCCCAGTGGTTATAAAGAGCATATGTCACCTGGTGACATTCCCCAAGTACCAGCTGCCTGAGCTACAGAAGGATTCAGGGCTGGCCCTACAGAAGGAAGGAGTCACAGCTTTTGTTTTAAACAAAACAACAGTCAAGAGGAACGGAGCTGTTGTCTGAAAGCTGTGTCCTCTCCACTCCGCCCTCTCCCTCTGAGGCATGCTGGTTCTGGAGTACATTTCCGTCCAGTGTGGCGGCGTAGCTAGACCCCCTTACACCAACAAAACTCCAGGTTGAGACCGTCTAGCCTTGCCAGGTCCCCTGAGGGCTCCCACACCTAGAACTTCCTCCCTCTTTTACAATGCCTTTTCTAAACACTTTCTTATAAAATACATTTGGAAGCTAGACCTTTGCTACCACTGTCTCTGGGTTTTTGTATCAGTCCCTACTTCTCAGGCTGCCCTGCCCAGGACCCAGGACCCAGGACCCCTGGTCCACCTCCCAAGGCACCTGTGCCTCCACTCTCAGGATGTCTTGCTCTGACTGGCCTCCCTTCCAGACTTGCCTTTGCTGGCCTTTCTGGGGTTCCCTGTTGGTACCACAGGGCACTTCCTTAAAAACCAGTACTGTACCAGAAAACTGAGGGTCCCAGTTCTGGTCCCACCACCTTCCAAGTGTTTGCCATGTGGCAGGCTTTGTTCTGGCTCAGTTTCCAGTTGGAAAGTGGAATTCTAGAGATCCAGATGAACACATCCATCTCAGGAGGCATGGAGGGAAAAGACGTATGTATTGAAGTTTTTTGTTTTTTGGGTTTTTTTTATGTGATTTTTTTTATTCAATGTTCAAACTAATAAATATTTTTTTATGAAGAAAATGTGTAGATTACATTTCACATTTTGTATTTTTTGTGTGTGTGTCCGTATTTTGGTGTTTGTAACACCAAAGTGGAAAATATATTCCATGGGGTGGGTGGTGTTAGGGTTGAGGTGGGAAAATGATATGATTTTTTATGGATCTCTGGATCCTGACCAGTTTGCATATTTGAACTCTGAGTTTTGGGGAACAGGACACTCCTAGGACTTGACAGGGACCTAACTCAAAAGACACAGTTATGTTTCCAATTTTTCACATTTTCTTTTAAAAAAACAAAACAAAACAAAACCTGAGGAAATGCAAAACTGGAACTTTTTGCAATATTATGGAAGATAATCTTACTTTGGCTCCTTCTGTGACATGTACAACTCCTCAGAAAGCCATATGGTGGTATTATTTTTTAGATTCTATTGTGTTTTGTATGTGGCTCTTTTAGAATCACTTGTAGTGAGGGTGCTGTGTGTGTGCTTTTCTTATTTATTTATTTTTTAACATGCTTTCAATCTGTCAAAAAGAAAAAAAGGCAGTGTTTGAAGATTATTGATTTTTTTCCTGGGGATAATCTATATTATATTGACTTTATATTAATTATTATAAACCTGTGTTTGTACTGATGATGTGTTTAATATTTGCAGAAGGCTTGTCATAATCAGTTTGTGGGGTTCACAGCGCCCACAAACAAGTAAAGATTACCTTCTCTCTAGCGGTTCTTGCGATTCCTTGTCTGCCTCAGTGTACTCCAGGTTGCCTGTGGGTTTTCTTTCTGTGATGGGATTAGTGTAGACATTCTTGCAAAACGATCACTTTAAATAAAATGGGAAATTGCTGCTCCATGCAGATGCCTCCTGTGTGGTTTCAAATAGTACCCTTCCTTGGACCCCAACCTGAATGGAGGTAGCCTCCAGCCCCTATGCTTATCATTCATTTCCCATTTTCCTCCTAGTTTCACTTCTTTCCCCAGGAGATAACATTGGTATCTGGAAATCTGGAAAACAAACAAACAAACAATCCCCACAGTTTTTAATTTTTCTGTGGTATGACCTAGACACAAGACTCCTGAGCTTCATTAATATGGTAAAATATCAGCCCCAGTCTGGTCAGGAACCACTATCTTCAAATGTGGGCAGGAGAGTACTCTCTCTGACATCTCCCAGAGTGCAACAGGCTCTAGCAGAGCCCACTGACATCTTTGATGAGTCTGTGAGTGACAGGCAGGGAGGCAAGCTGTCCCTGGGGCCAAAAGGACAGCATGCAGTTAGGGTTTAGTGCAAAAAACGCTCGTTTCTTCCAGGGTAAGTTGATTACTCAGTCCTCCACCTCTAGGAGCCGAGGTCATCAAATCCACCACAGGTTTGCTGTAGCTTCAGGCTGTGCACCACAGGTCCCTGTGGTCCGTGCAGTACACTTTCTGGCACTTCTTGGCATCACCCCGGGGCTTCCTGGAGGGGCCATGCAGGGGGCATGGAGAATTGTCAGCTAAGACCTTTGCCACCTAGTACATCCCAGACCCTCAAACAACACATACCTCAGGTTGGCAGGCAAAGCTGGTCTGTAGGCCTGGGCCTCAGTGGGCTGTGGCTCCAGGTGGATGGGGGCCCACCAGCTCTGGAAGGAGCCACAACCCCTGTCGTGCCTCTCTAGAGCGCTCTGAGACCTGGCCTCACCTTGCTGGTAGGCTTGGTCACTGGCATACCTGTGGAACAACTGAAGAGCTGAGTTTGGGAAATGGAAACAAAGTTAGGGGCTGTAGCAGGCTGGAAAGAGCTGGGGGCTCCAGCAGCTCTGGGAGCTCCATATGAGGGAAGGTGAGTGGCCTAGAGACTGTAGGAGACCCTGGGTCAGCCCACATGTCCAGCCAACATCCAGCTCTGTGTAGTAAAGTCCTCCTCCCTTCATTCTGCTCTGGCTCTGCCTGCCTCCTGCCAGGAACAGAGTTGTCAGGCCTGATCCCACCCTAGCAAAACCCCCAGTCCCACCGCACTGCAGGTGCACCAGGTGGGTGTGTTTCCCCTGATGGAGATGCTGTACTCATCACCTTTCCACAGCTCTTCCGCAGACACTGGAACATGACCTGAATAAAGCCCTGGAGTGATGGGAGCCCAGGTCAACAGTCTTCCCCATACTTACCTTCACTTTTCTCAGAGTGGCCTCCCCACACAGAAAGTGAGCTGCTTCAGGGAGCAGGCAGGGGTGACAGACACTGGTGACTGGTCAGGTCCGAGCCCCAGCCCCCACTGTTGCTTCTGCTGCTGCTGCTGTAGCTGCCTGAGAGATGAACCAGGGCCTCCTTCCAGGGCTCCTTCCATGTCTGCAGGGACATAGTACTTAGGAGCTCGGAAGACTCAAGCTACTTTGCAGATATTACTCCCGCTGGCTCTCTCCAAGTCCCTGATTTTGAGTTGCCACCTGTTCAGGTGAGCCTTGTGGAGCAGGGGCGACTATGAGAATTTGGCCTCGGAGACTTGGAGAGAAGCCTCTCTAGCCGAGGAAAGGCAGGAGTGCTTGGCATGGCCAGCAAAGTGGAGGTGCAGTTTTGGCCTCAGTGAGGGACTCTTAGAGAACTCGGGACAAGCTTAGAAAGTGGCATACTAGGTTTGGGGGCATTGCTTGCCCCATAGAGAGGCTTGGTGGCTTCAGTATCCCGGAATAACAGAAGTTCTGGACCCTGACCATGGCTGAGCATAGAAATCTGAACCTCATCTGAGCTGCTGAGGGTAGCAGCTGGTACCCCCAGACAGAGGGGCTGGTAGATAGGCTTGTAAGGGCTGTATCAGCCATGACTTCTTCCAGCTGGGCTTTTCCTGGGGGGATTCTGGAGATGAAGTCAGGGGTCAACAAGTGCTCTAGGCCCCTCCCCAGGTCCCCGCACACATCTGCAGCCTGGACACATGTGGGCATCAGGCTACGCCACTCCAAGTTCTGGGCAGGAGGCCTGGCTTCACCCCCAGCTTAGGTTGCAGAGCTGGAAATCCAGGAACTATACAACAGGATGGGGATCCACAAAAGGCCTGAGTTCTCCATAACTTGAGCTTTGTTCCACAATGGCTCCTTTAGACCCTGGTGCTGAGCAGAGGTCCGAAGGCCCACTTGCAGGGGTGAGGCCAGCTATGGCTCAGACCTTTCTGCTAACACACAGTAACCATGGCCGTGCAATAGCAACCGTAGGTCAAGTGCCAGGGGTAGGGTTAGGTTTGGGAGGGTTGGGTAGGGTAGGAGGGCGGAGCAGTTGGGGAGGTTGTGCTCTAAGCACAGGCTGGTTCCCAGGCCCTGGGGGACTGAATAGTCAGCCCCTGCTGCACTGTCAGTCAGGAGTATAGAGCTGGCAAGTGGGGAGGTGGAAGCCGGGGACCCAGCTAGTCAGGTTGGGACCCTGACTTGTTCTCCACCGAAATCTTCAAAGGCTGCCATCTGTGCCAGCATCCACCGCTCCTCAGTCCCACCTCACCTCTTCATTGGCACCAGGATGTGCAGAGAAGGCATTGGGAGCCGTGTTGAGGCTCCAGAATTGGTTCCCGAGGCTCCTGACTTCGTAGCCTAAGGTTCCTGTGGCTCTGAGAACTCCATCTATAGTAGGACCCTGAAAATGGGGGTGGGAGGGCTCCGTGGAGGAGTTGGCCTGGGGACCCCAGACTCTACCTCAAATCTGCTTAGTACCCAGCTACCACACCAGATGCAGCTAGTGTGTACCGCATGGCCCCGCCCTAGCCCCGCCCCCTGTTCCCGTGGCGGGAAGCCTTTGCTTGGTCTGTCAGTCTTGCTTGGCCTGACCCGAGGACAGGCAGGGACACTCTTACAGACTTCCAGCTGCCACACCTTCAGGGCCCAAAGTTTATGTAGACCCGATGCCCATCTTTGCAGGGAAAAAATTTAGCAGTCCTCCTGCCCACCGGTACCGGCAGTGGTGTGGCACTCTGACTCAGACCCTCCGCACTCAGGCACTGAGTCGTGATCTGCAGCCCACTGGGCTCTGGGGAGGCTAAGGATGGACGCTAGGTCCTGACCCTTGGAGTGGGACGGGTGACTTTCACAGACCCGCCGACCCAGTTCCTGAGTGCATTCAGCCTCCATGGGCGTCCGGAAGCCTACGTTACATTAGTAAGGCTAGACTTAGCCTGATTGGGACCTAAATCAGAGCCAGGTCGGTCGACCCCCCCCCCCCCCCATCCGACCTCTACCCGCGCCACCGAAGCTGCTTGACTACATCCTCCTACGAACTCCGCCCCACTGCGCACGCCCATTGGCCCTCACGTGGCCAACACCCCAAGTGGTTCGAGCTTTGCCCCGCAGGGGCTCCAACTCAGGCTAGTGGGAGGGGCCAGCTCAACTCAGGCTGACAGCCTTGACTTGGACCCTGCGCACCCTGCGCACCCTGCAGCCCAAGGACTGGTTTTCCCAGGGAACCGGAGTGCGCACTGAACTATCAGAGCCGGGAAAGGTCTGCGCCTTCTTGGCCGCCCTCTTGGGAATAGGTTATTCTTTAAAACCGTACTGTCTACCTCTGCCTACGCATGTAACCTCAAGAGATGGTGGCAGAAGCTCCAGGAGGATCTGAGGTACAGATCCCCTACTTCCAACTGGCCATGCTGTCCCAGCCTGGGAAAACCACCACAGCCAAAGGCTTGTTTGCCTTTTTTTCCTGCCCACAGACTCGGGCCAGGAACCAGGTATAAGGAAACTCTCCCAAAGATCAGAAACGGACATCTGTAACCCCTTCGGAAAACTCCCACTCCAATCATTCCAGCTTTAAAAAAAAAAAAAAAAAAAGCAACTGAGAGCCAACCTTATGTGACAGAGATTTAATTAGGCCACAAGGACTGGACCTGAAATTTGTGCTGTTAGCTGTGGGGGGTGGAAGGACACAGGAGGATCTGCAATCAAACCTTGGTACCCTTACTGTGTCAATGTGTGTTAATAAACAGGATGTGAGGCCTCAGCTGCTCAGGGACCCATCTCCCTGATGCTTTCATACACATTTTCTAAGGGATCTTGGTTCATATCCTGGCCCCTGAGAGTGATGGCCTCATATTCCACATCACTCCCAAGGGCCACAATTCCTCTCCCACTCTGGGGATCCGGCTGATCTGTGCCAGGTCTTGGGTCTCTCCTTTTAGGCTTGCAGACCCTGGAGTACAGGAGATCCATCTGGAGAGAGGAAGCAAACCCAGGGAGGGCTTGGCATTGTCCTCTGCCAAGGGTGGGTTCAGTCCCATCTGCCCTACCCTACCCTACCCAGGCTCACTTTACCTGAGTAGCTGGGATCACCTTAGCCTTCTCCTGCAATTCGTGGTAGCCCTGTCCTGTCTCTTTGCGCTTCTGGATACAGGCATACTCGGCCCCAGGCCCAAGCTTGGCACAGCTAATGGTCAGCTGTGTTCCAGCCCACACCACAGGGCTAGCAGCCAGGCTGGCCCTGGGAATTGCAGCCAGTCCGACATTGGAATAAGTGGCCTCAGGGCTAGTTGCAGGGGCAGCAGGAGGGGCCCTGGGCAGCTGCCGAGGTGGGAAGGCAGAGGGGGTTACCTGAGACCTGGTGCTGCCCCTAGATACCTCCAGCCAGTGTGGATGCAGGAGATCCATGCTAGCAGGCCGTGGGGCTAGGGATAAGATCAAGGCAGAAGTCACTGAGAGTCTAAGGCAACAGGACTGGCCCCAGTGGGCCAGCCCTACATTTATGGCCTCCCAAGGAGCTCACCTATGCTGCAGCGTAGGCCTTGGCGAAGCTCATGCAATCTGGTGTCAGACTTGCTGAGGGAGCGGACGTGGGCCTGTCTCAGTAGTGACTAGGGGTAAGGAAGTCTGGTTGATCCCCTGATGTCCTTGCCCTGACCCCAGGGACAATCTGGCACTCACCATTTCCACTGGTATCAAACTGCCCTGCAGCCCAGTTTGTTGCCTCTGAGCCCGCTTCCTAGGGGCAAGAGTGCTGTTAGTCCAGTGGGCAGAGGAAGGTCCTGGCCCAGGCTCAGTGTAGACGCACAGGCAGAGCCCTCATGAGGACTTCTGACTCGGAGCCATACGTGGAGAGGGCAGACACAACCCCAGGCACATACCTGTGGCAGGCTGTGCACAGGGCCCACAGCCAGAGGAGCAGGGAGAAGCACCCCAGGACCCAGAGGGCTAGTGGGGCTGAAGGCACTGGTGGCCTCATCCTATAAAGCAGGGAAGGGGGACCTGGGGACAGAAGAATGAGCTCTGGGGGCTGCCCAGGGACCAGCACACACCTGCAGCTCTACTGCAGCCCTCGCCCAGCTGGTGGGTTCTTCCTCCCTGGTTGACTCAGCACACCGGAAACCCCCAGGCTTTGCATCTTTGCTCAGACCCATGGGCACCCACCTTTCCTTCTCTGGCTAGGGTTCCTGGTACAAGAGTGAAGCTCTGTCTACTCCCTTAGTTATTAGAGATGGAGGAACACGGTCAGGGCGACTATGACCCGGACAAGGCTGTACTCACTGTAACTCACACCCACCCGCTGGGGAAATCTCTGACATCTCTGACTTTGAGCCACAGACCACAGACTTCACCTCCGACCACCACTGCCCAGGAGTGACCCCTTGTGTCAGGTGATGTTTCTAGAGTACTCACTACAGAAGCTAAGCAGTTGGGGGGCTCACTGAACAGGAGGAGCTGCTATGAAGGCCAAGTATCCCCACCCTATCCCTCCCTTTCCAGGATCCCTGCTTTTCCTGGAGTTGCCCCTAGAAGAGCTGATTATGTGCTCACCCAAGAGTTCAGGGTGAGCAGTCTTCTGAAGTGAGGGCCTGTCTGTTCAAGCTTGGAGTGTAGGCATCTTACACAACAGGGGCCCAAACTGACTAACCTGGCTACAGCTAAGTCTCAATGGCCTATCCAGGCTGGGTTCATCCCTCCCAGATCCCAGGGTATGGAGAGGTCTGAGGACTGGCCCAGGAGGGAGAATGGGGCAGGTACTTACCAAGGCCACGGTGGGGTTGCTGCTTGGCCCTGTCTAGGACAGCCAGGAAGGTCTTTGTGGGCTGCTGGTGTGCTCCACCTCATTTCCTGTGTCTCTCAGAGCACCTCCCAGCAGCCACACGGCTCTTGCGCAGTTGCTGTCATGGTCTCTGCTCACCTCCTCACGCCTCATCCTAGCTATTAGCCATCGATAGGCAACTATCACAAAACTAGCACAGTGCCCTCCACCCCGATGTAGGTGGACAGAGCCCACTTAAGTCAGGCCTGCCTGCTTTCATCACAGACAGTGTTCCCCAAAGATGTTTCCACCTCACACATCCTACCTGTCTGTGGGTGCTGGGCACTGAAGGGCCACTCCATGACCTTACTCACTTGGTCAGAGAAGAGAGAAGAGGGGAAATGCTCCTCTCTTGGACTCTTGGACCTTGAACAGAGGCAGCGGCCTCATCTGGGACCCCCCACAGCCCACCTGTCGGTTGCCAGGACCTACACAGATCCATTTGTCCCCAGAGATCCTGAAGCCAGCTGAGTCTCCAGTAAGAGAAATTGTGATGAAATCACTTTAATGTCCTCACTAAGGAGATACCCCAAGACACTGGTAGGTGAGCTCAGTGGGCAAATAAGTGTTCAAAATAACTGACACCCCGCATCTACTCAGTAGTGTTCATACACTTTAGGCTGACAAGGCTGAATAAGGCACAGCCTAGGAATGGGCTGGCCCCTCTGTCAGGTGCTCTCTAGGTATCAGGGTGGCAGCTGTCTTTCTGCCAAGGCAGTTGGGAGTCCCAGGGCTCTATCCACAATACAGGCAGGGCTGCTAGAACTCTGTCATCTTCCTGTGCGTGTCTGCCTTCCGCCGTTCCCTCTGTAGGCCGGCCTCCTGAGCGCGCAGCTGACCCAGCTTCCGCTGTGCTCCCTCCAGCTTCTCCTGCAGATGGGCTGCTGTCGTGCTGTGCCTAGGGAGAGCCTGCTGGTCAGCACAGTCTCTTGGCTCCCACACCAGGCCCCCACTTGCTGTGGCTATGCCTGTCCTCTAATACTCAGACCACCTCAGACTCGGGCTACTCAGGTCAGGTGACCTTTAGTGGGCATCCTGTGGGCACAGCCACCAGAGCCCATACTACCTCAGCTGGACCCCACACATACCGGCCAGCATTTCGGGTTAGGGCCTCCTGGATGCCCCGGATGTCCCGTTGGGTCCGCTCAATCTTCTCCTCAGTCTGGAAGAGCTGCAGGCTCAGTGCCTGCTTGGCACTTTTACTGGCATGATACATGTCCTTGTCCCTTCTCCCTGGAGTGTCTACCCCAGCATCTGGGGTCCCAGGTGCCTGGCTTTGCAGTTTTTCATTCAGAAAGTCAAACACATTCCGAGGGGGTGGGCGGCCCTCGGGTCTACCACCACTCCTCCGATATCTTGGAGGTCTACTGGTCCCAGCCTGGTTTCCCTTTGTCTTCTTCTGTAGTATCTCTGTGCACTGGTCCAGTGATTTCCCTCTAGGCAACACTACAGCATGGATGGGTTCCACCCGGCCTTCTGCATGCCGACCCAAACCTGGGAAAGACAGGGCCTTCTGCCACCTCTGCCAGACTTGGACAGGCTGAGGTATCCATCCCTCCCACCTCAGGGCAGCACACACTTACCCTTGCCAAACTCATAGCCCATCTTGACGAGGAGTTTGGAGCCAATGCCTCGTGTGTGTACCTCCCAACCAGCAAAGGCAGAACTGCAGGTCCCAGTGTCCACTGTGTTTGGTTCCACGACTGCAGGAGAGAGAGGACTCCAAGTAATGGGCTCTAGTCAATGCCATGCAAGAACTTAGTTCCTAGGTAGGGCCTCGTCTGGACTTCTGGTCCCCTCAGATTCCCCAAGTAGGCTGTGGCACACCTGGAGACTCTGCCTTGAGCGATGGCTGCACTGTAGTCAAGTTCAGGGCTTCAGCTTACTACCTGCTGTGATGGGTTGGAGCTCAGAAACCACCAATTCATAGCACAGCTTCCCGGAGACATCTTCTTGTCTTCATCCTAACCCATCTCTCAGAAGACTATACATTACCTAGTTTTATTTCCTGAAATCTCTATTTTACCTAGACACATTTTCCATCTGCCAAGACCTCTTCTGTCCTACGTACCAGGCACCCAAGTTCTAAATCTGGGAAGCCATCTGAAGAAGACACCCTTCCCTACATTCTGTTACTTCCTCTGACTCCTTGGCAGTTACAGCACCAACATTCCCTTCTCTGACAGTGTGGTGCCATCTTGCTTCAGAGAGTTCTGACTGTTGCATATGATTGCTGTGTCTGTTTCTTAAAGGCAAAAGTTAGGTCGTGGGTCTTACTCAGGCCCATCACACACTCTCTGGTCTCTCAGGCAGTCTCCTGTAGATTACTAAGCAAAGCCAGACTCACTCCATCACTGGGTGCCTGTCTAGGTTATCACCACCAATCTGCTCTACGCCCTCACCATCCTGGCTTCTGGGCACTGATTTCTGCCATACCTCTGGCATAGCTGGAATCACTTGCATCACCGCTGTCTGAGTCGGACGACTCTGTAGCCTCAGTGCGTAGAGGAGGCAGGATGCCGTCCCCCTCCACCACAGTTTCCTTCAGCAGCAGTGAGTCAAACTTGACAGTATAGTAGCCATTGTCCACATCTACGGTGATAGACAGGCTGTAGGTTAGCAACTTTGCAGGAAGGAAGGGGGCTTGGGGCAAAGGCAGACTTATTCCTCTTGGGCCCAAATGAAGTAAAAAACCAATCCAGAGGAGGTTGAGAATGGCTATAAGAACAGTAAGGATGCTTCAGAAAGGGTCCCACCAGGTAGGTCCTTGTAGGCAATCTCACCAGTGATCCGTGCTGGGTGCCACAGCCCATCCTGGTGCTTGGCCAGACACGCGGAGCCGGCCTTCAGTAAGCTCAAGTCTGGATCCTGGAAGGGGCGCAGCTCATCCACAGAGACTACATGCCCATGGGAAAACCTGTAGATACAACCACAGCAGGAAGTGGCTTAGCATGGCCCACTGGGAGCAAGTGAGCCAGAAGCACAAAGACTATCAACAGGGCACTGCCTAAAATGGAGTGAAATTCAAGAAGTCAAGACAAGCACACCAGCAAAAATGTCTACATATCCTTCCTTCCTTCCTTCTTTCCTTCCTTCTTTCCTTCCTTCCTTCCTTCCTTCTTCTTTTTTTTTTTTAAGATGTATTAATTATGTATACACTGTTCTGCCTGCATGTGTGCCTGCAGGCCAGAAGAGGGGCACCAGATCTCATTATGGATGGTTGTGAGCCACCACGTGGTTGCTGGGAATTGAACTCAGGATCTCTAGAAGAACAGCCAGTGCTCTTAACTGCTGAGCCATCTCTCCAGCCCCAAACACATATATTTTCATACCTAAGGATTTATGCACACATTTCTCTCATACACATATACATTCATATACTCACTCATGTATGAATCTACACTCTCATACTCGCTCATGCATATACATACACTTATAAATTTATGCTCATATATACCTGTATATCCCTATATACAATATCTCTCACACACATGCATATACTACCATATAGTTACACACAGTAAACACATTTGTATACATGCATATAAATGCAGAGAATGTACCCATACATGTACATATACTCTCACAACACAAATGCATGCATGCATGCATACTAAACACATAAACGCATAGAAGGTACCTACATACATACATATACTCTAAAACACCCACACACACACACACGTATACACACTGGAATGTTCTCTTAGGACACACATGGCTACTTTGGGGAGATGGCCTGTGATTTTTTCAGCTTTCTAGGTTAGGGTGACAATGTGGCAGAGAGCCTTGTGATTATAGTTCATTGCCTATCACCAAACACGATGATGCTCTTGACACTAATATTCAAGGCAGATGTATTAGATGTTGGGATACATTGACTCCTCCCTGGGCATGGGCACTTGGAAGGTCAAGGCAGGGTGATCATGAGTTTGAGATCAGCCTGGGCTACACAAAGAGATCTTTTCTCAAAAGCTGAAACAAAAACTAGAAGAACTTAGTTACAATAACGGTGCTATGCCTTTTATGCATCTGTGTACATGTAAAATTAAAACCAAAACCAAATCTGACAGAAAAGGAAGAGGAAATGTGGAGACACAGAAGATTGCAGCCATGAGCTTTGCCAAATAAAGGCATGAAAAAGCTAACCACCAAGTACTACTATATGCCATCATTTCAGACAGGAAGTTGTTTTAACCCCAAAAGAGCAGCTGAGGGGATTCACTTCTCAGCAGTAATGAGTGGGTAGGGAAAGAAGGAAATGGAAGAGAGGAAAGGCAGAACTTCCACAGTTCACACCCACAGCCAGGATTAGGATTACCTTCTCACACCAACCATCTTAGACACACAGGACAGGATTCCAGGGTTACCTTCTCACACCAACTATTTTAGACACATAGCTAAGTGGCACCATCAGCTGAAGGCTGTGCCACCAAAGCACAGTGAATCTGGTTAGAAAGTCTTGTTCAGCTGAGAACTGAGGACAAAAGGATGTATTTAAGGGGTTTATCCTGAGTTTGATCCTTGGGGCTCAGAAGGAAAGAACCGATTCCCACAAGCAGTCCTATGATTTCCATGCTCTCATGGTGACATATGCATGCCTCTATACCAAATAAATAAGCATTTCTAAAGGTGGCAAGGGAAATGTCTCAACAATTAAGAACACCAGCTGCTCTTACAGAGCACTCAGGTTCAATCCGGTGGCTCACAGCCATGTGTAATTTCAGTCCCAGATGACCTGACACCCTCTTCTGGCCTTCGCAGGCACTAGGCATGCAAGTGGTTCATACACATACATGCAGGCCAAACATTCACACGCAACAATAACAACAGCAAAATATGCTTAGAACCAGAAACAAGTGTTTCCAATTTGTAATTTTTAAAAATATTAGTGGTGTCATATTAGTGCTCAGAAGGTTTGGATTGGAGGGGCTAGGAAGCTGGCTCAGTGGGTAAGAGTGCTCACTGGGCAAGTGCAAGGACTCGAGTTTAAATCCCCAGGACCCACATAAAAAGGTGGAAAGAGAACTCCAGGCTGAGTGGCCCTGTCTCAAGGGAAATAAGGAGGAGGCGATAGAGGACACTCAGTGTCCTTCTCTGCTTGCACACAAGTTTT